TGAACATACCTCAAAATACCGATAATAAACCCAAATTGGTACATGTTTGTTAGTACTATAAAATTACATACAATTCGGTTAAAAAATGTTTCCAAACTCTTTAACATACTGACATTTGGGATGCACCGGTAAATGGGAGCTACCCTAAAGAGTTGGTCAAATGTTGATAATTTTTAGTAGGAACATTTGCTACCCTTTGAGAGCCCAAAGTAGCAAATTATAACCGACTAGGAGGAAAAACGCGACCAAAACCATCAAAATACTCAAAAGAGGGGTACTGTTTTATGGGTCCAATATTGATAATTTTTTTATATAAAAATTTCCGACATTTTAGTAGAAATGCTGAAAATTCTCAAAATACTGAATGTTTTTGGGGTGTACCCGTTATATAGGAGCTAACCGAAAAAGTAGACCTAACGCCGTTTAAAAACTTACTCAAAATGCAGAAATTTGAGGTATGCAGTTATATTCTATTTTCAATAACAGATATCTTAGAAATAGTCTGGTGAATATTTCAAGGGGATGCCAATGAAATGCCAAATTTATTATAAATTCCACATTATTTTTAACGTTTTTTTGCAGTATTTTTTTTTTTTTTTTTTTTTTGGAAATTATTGTTTCCAATTTGCATTGTACATCTTGCAATTCTCAAGTGTTTTAAAATCCGACTATGAAACTACAACTGAACTTTTTGCGAATACCGAGTCTGAGGAAAAATCTGTAACAATGCCTCATTTTGCACCTAATTTTATAATCACCATGAGCTGGGCATGTGATCGTGGGCTGTGCCATGGTAATTTTTTGGTAGGAAGATTTGACACACGATGAGACAGAAATAACAGTCAATTCTCATAAAAAAAAGAATTTTGGAAGGCACCGCTATATGGGGTTATCTTGAAAAGATGAATATTGATAATTATTGGAAGACGTGTCACATAATGAAAACACATAATACCAAATTACAGCCAATTTTGTTAAAAACGTACCAAAAACCCCAAAACCGTTATATGGTGGTTGACCTGAAATATGGCCAATATTGATAATTTTTTGTAGGTAGATTTGATGCCCAACGTGAATCCAAAATACGAATCCAAATTACAGCCGCTTTTGTTGAAAAACGGGTCTTATAACCTCAAAATACCGAATAATGTAGCAAACAATAGCAAATTCGATTGAAAACATATTAAACATCCCTATAATATCGAATATTTGAGGGTACCGTTATATGAGGGCTATACCATAACGTGGACTGATATATCCCATTTTCAATACTAAACATCCCATGGGTAGTAGGAATGCATGTGAAACAATTCTATCTTCAATATTGCGAGCACTAAAGTAATTTCAACAGACGGACAGACAGTTGGACATGCATAAACCGACATAGAATTTTTTTAATACTGCATATACTTTATGTAAACGGATTGACAAAAATCAATATAGTTTTTGATGCATTTGCTCCTCTATGTATGAACCGATGATCATAATCAAAAGCTATAGCTACCAGAACCGAACAATCATGCACAATTTCTTGGCAATGGCCCACATATGGCACCGGTGTACTAAATACCGTGCATAAAAGAAGACGTAACAACATTTTCGATCCAATTGATCCCTTAGGCGGTATACTTCATATAGATGTTCGAACATGATCGCAGTATGTTTGTTATGTTACAATCGGATTGTTATTTTGAACCTCCATAATATATCTTTGTAGGGCTGTGGAGTCAAGCTTCCGATTCCGGAATAATTTGAAAGTGAGTTATTTTTTCCGACACAGGTTTCAACTCCATCTAAATTGACCTACTCCGACTGACTGTGTACCACACTGTGGTACAGGGTATTATCTTTGTGCATATGTTTGTAACAGGCAAAAATAATCGAGATAGACCCATGGTTCCTTTTGAGAATATGCATAGAATCAATTTCTGAGTCGATTTACGCATGTCCGTCTGTCCGTCCATGTATTCTTGTGAACAAAGTACAGGTCGCATTTATGATCCGAATTGGATGAAATTTGGCACAGCTCATTTGTTTGGCCCAAGGACGAACCCTATTGAAATTGGGAAAAATCGGTTCAGATTTAGATGTAACTCCCACATATATATCTTGGTCCGATATAAGGTAAATGGTGTACCAAAGGCCCTATATATCTTTCGATTTGCACGAAATTTGGAATAGCGTACTGAATTAAGTCTAGAATGATGTGTGCAAAGTTTCGTGAAAATCGGTTCAGATTTAGATATAGCTCCCATGTATAGTTTCGCCCGATTTTAGATAAATAGTCCATTAAAGTCCCTGGCAATATTTTGATTTGCACGAATTTTGGCATAGCGTACTGAATTAAGTCTGGAATGATGTGTGAAAAGTTTCGTGAAAATCGGTTCAGATTTAGATAAGCTCCCATATATACTTTCATCCGATTTAAGGTAATTGGTGCACCAAAGACCCTATACATCTTTCGATTTGCACGAAATTTGGCATAGAGTACTGAATTAAGTCTAAAATGACGTGTGCAAAGTTTCGTGAAAATCGGTTTAGATTCAGATATAGCTCCCATATATATTTGCATCCGATTTTAGGTAATTGGTGGACAAATGTATGTAAAAATCATTCGATTTGCACGAAATTGGTCATAGCGTATTGAATTAAGTCTAAAATGACGTGTGCCAAGTTTCGTGAAAATCGGTTCAGAATTAAATATAGCACCCATATATATTTTCGTCCGATTTTATGTAATTGGTGCACCAAAGACCCTATACATCTTTCGATTTGCACGAATTTTGGTATAGGGTACTGAATTAAGTCTAGAATGATGTTGCTAAGCTTCGTGAAAAGGTCCATAGCTAGGCCGATTGACACAATGTACTGGAGTAATATAAATTAGTCTCTGGCAAGTTTTCATGAAATCGGTTCAGATATAGATATATAACAAAAACGCGACATCTGTTAGGATACACATGTAGAATATACCCAAAGTGGTGAAGGGTATCATATAGTCGGCCCAGTCCGTTGGGAAATATAGGTATAATATTCTCATCTGTCCGAGCATGGAATACAATCATTTTATTGTTGTCTGTGTCTGGCCAAAATAAATATAATGCTATTGTTGGCAATGCATTCGTGATATACAGTTCAAGACCTTCGGTGACTTCGATAAAAATACGTAAAATATAATTATTCAAAAACATGGAAGAATTATGAAAATTACTAATTTTCAATAAAACTCCCAAAACGATTCTTGGTAGAGCCACAAACCAAATTTTGTAAATAAAATATTTTTTGTCTATCAAATATATAAATTTAAAAAAATCAAATACTATTAGAAGATAAAAAAATGAAAGAATAATAGAGAAATTTATAAGAATGAGTTCTCAATTAGTTTTAATATTTACTTGTCGGATTATCGGAGTAGAAAGCCTGAATATGTTTTCGATTTTTTAATAATATTTTATACATTTTATATCCAATAACTAATAAAAATATTCACCGGAGATCACATAGAGTATAGAAATAAAATTCTATGTCCGTTTAGTCGTGTCCCTCTGACAGACACTCTGTCTGTTAACACCACGATAAAGTTCGCAATATCGAAGATATTATTTGAGTTCTCGCTGAGTAGCAAATCTTCCACTTTTTACGATAGATCACATACCACGGCACCATCCAAATTTAAATATTTTGGAGAGTTTGGATACGTATTTGGCCAAAATTTACTGTAATTAAGTATTTGGGATTTTCATTGGATTGGATTTCTACCTATATTAGCCCAAGTGAGGGCTACCTTGACCTCATATAACGGTAATTTTTGGTATGTTAAAAGTATTAACCCAATTTCCAACCTGAGAGCCTGCAGTATAAAATTGCAGTTCCTCCTGGCATAATAGACATAGCATCTATCATAATATTTTCGTAGTAGTCTACCTACAGAAATATGGTCATCCACCATACAACCCTTAGCCCATTTTCACTTGTTTTAGTTTAAAACAAAATTCATTTATTTAATAATTTTGTGTTATTTTTTTTACAGAAAATAACCCATAAAGCAACGAAAAATATATCATTAAAAAAATAAAAAACTAAATTATTATCAAATAGAAGCAAAAAATTGTTATCATCACGGAGTGAATAAGAAGAAAACAAAAAACTAAATTCAAAAAATAAATAAATTTAATGATAAAACAAATTATGCAAATATCTTGATAACAATACAACAACAATAATAACAACAACCACAAAAATTGTGCAAAAAGATAAGAAAAAATTTAAATAATCTGCAAAACAAAAATAGATAAAAAGTAATTATCATTAAAAATTAAAAAAAAAAAAACAACAAATAATAACTACAAAAAGTCTTAATTGTGAAACAAGTGCCCAAGAACCTAAAATTATCCTACAAAGTTTTGAATTTATAGTGTTGAAAAATTACTCCCAAAACAATCCCGGCCATTTAATAATGGCTACCCAAATCGTTATCATGTTATATATAGGAGATTAACTATTGGTGGGGTTCCAGAGGCGTTTTAACGTATTTTACAACCGATCGACCCAGAGTGGTGGCCACCAAAAATTTGTTACAAAATAAAATTCAAAGTATACAAAAATATTGTTTTGAAATTGTTTACAACAACAAGGAGAAAAAAGAACACAACAAAGCAAGCCAAGTAATTTAAATAAATTACATACGACAACAACAAACAAATATTCTGGTATTTTTTCAAATTTCCTACAAAACCCGTTCAACCTAGCAACCGGGCAGTCAGCGAGCCAGCTATTCAAGCGAGCAAAGAGAAAAAAGTTCAACATCTACAAAAACAAAAATTAAAGTTATTTATTGTCTAATTTCAAAACGACAACCACCAAACCCAAAAAAAAAATCGGCCCAAAAGCTTCCACGCCAACAACAAAAAATCTAGCTTTTTGGGTTCACATCTTCTCCTCCGCTTGGATACCAAACCCAAAATATTCTGAAAACCGAAAAAAAACATCGAAACAAATAATCAACAGATATTCCAAACATGTCGTCTACCATGGCTGCCGCAGCTCCAACATCAACGTCGTCATCATCCGCACCGCCAACAGGAGGGGTGACACGCACCTCGGATTGTCGTAAATTTTCACCAAATATCTTCAACAAAAGTAAATGCAGTCATTGTTTTCGTCAACGTGAAGAGCATAGCGCTGCCGCATTGGAATGCAATCGGGTAAGTCCACAAAAAATGCCAGCCTGCCTGCCACACATATTTTGTTGTTGTTGGTTCGATTTTTTTCTTCTTAGCTGGTACCCAACACTCCCTTTGAGTGTGGTGTGTGTGAGTGTGACTGTGTGTCATTGTCCCCCACTGATTTTTTGTTGCTGTTGTTGGGTGTTTAGAAATTCTAGCAATCCCCAAAATAAAAATTATTCAAATAATTTTGAAGTATGTTTTTCAAATATTTTTTTTTTTCTCAGCGTGGGTAGTTTTTTTATTATTTTTGGGGATACAAATTTGTAGGCCATTCAGTTTCTTTACCTCTTTCTCCAATTTTTTTGATGAATTTTGAATTTGAATTTTTCTGAGCATGTCGCTTTATTAAACAACTGTTTTATTTGACAAATTTATGAAACGTGCTGGGGATTTTAAATCATTGCCAACGAACCAAAAAAAAATTCAGGTGTTGTTGGTATGGGAGGAATTTTTGAAATTGATTTTTTTATGGGTTTGTCGGTCAAACAGGTAGCAAAATATTAATTTTTGTAGAGGCCTCAAAAAATATTTTTAAAAAATCCACGTCTTGAAAAATATTTTTAAAAAAATCCACGCCTTCAAAAAAAAAATTTAAAAAATCCAAGCCTTCAAAAAATATTTTTAAAAAATCCAAGCCTTCAAAAAATTTTGTTTAAAAAATCCAAGCCTTTAAAAAATATTTTTAAAAAATCCAAGCCTTTAAAAAATATTTTTAAAAAATCCAAGACTTCAAAAAATATTTTTAAAAAATCCAAGCCTTCAAAAAATATTTTTAAAAAATCCACGTCTTCAAAAGAAAATTTTAAAAAATCCAAGCCTTCAAAAAATTTTGTTTAAAAAATCCACGCCTTCAAAAAATATTTAAAAAAAATCCAAGCCTTCAAAAAATATTAAAAAAAATCCAAGCCTTCAAAAAACATTTTTAAAAAATCCACACATTCAAAAAATATTAAAACAAAATCCGCGCCTTCAAAAAATATTTTTAAAAAACCCACGCCTTCAAAAAATTTTGTTTTAAAAAATCCACGCCTTCAAAAAATATTTTTAAAAAATCGTCGCCTATTTGTAGATCCACGCCCCTTTATAGTTAGCCAAATATAATCTAAATATATTTTTAAAAAATATTTTTCAAGGTCTACTGTAGGCGTCGATTTTTCGCAACCCTCCTCTCCACCCCGAAAAAAGTGTTTTGGGTTTTACTTTATTCCAAATAATTTTTATACCCTTCACCACACTGTGTCTATGGCTTTGTGCATATGTTTGTAACAGGCAAAAGGAAACGAGATAGACACATGGTTCCTTTTGAGAATATGCATAGAATCACTTTTTGAGTCGATTTATGCATGTCCGTCCGCCTGACCGTCCGTTCGTCCATGTACTTTTGTTAACAAAGTACAGGTCGCATTTGGGATCCGATTTGGATGAAATTTGGTACAGTTCACTTATTTGGCCCAAGGACGAACCCCATTGAAATTGGGAAAAATCGGTTCAGATTTAGATATAGCTCCTATATATATTTTCGTCCGATTTTATGTAAATGGTGCACTAAAGTCCCTATATATCCTTCGATTTGCACGAAATTTGGCACAGCGTACTGAATTAAGTCTAGAACGATGTGTGTTAAATTTCGTAAAAATCGGTTTAGATTTAGATATAGCTCTCATATATATTTTCGTCCGATTTTAGGTAAATAGTGCACCAAAGTCCCTATATGTCCTTCGATTACCACGAAATTTGGCGTAGCATTCTGAATTAAGGCTAGAACGATGTGTGTTAACTTTCGTGAAAATCGGTTCAGATTTAGATATAGCTCCCATATATATTTTCGTATGGTCGTCCGTCCGTCCATGTATTTTTGTTAACAAAGTACAGGTCGCATTTGTGTTCCGATTTGGATGAAATTTGGCACAGTTCACTTATTTGGCCTAAGGACGAACCCTATTGAAATTGGGAAAAATCGGTTCAGATTTAGATATAGCTCCCATATATATTTTCGTCCGATTTTAAATGTGACGTCCATTAGGATCCCCAAAATGGTGAAGGTTATCATATATCATATAGTCGGCCCCGTCCGACTTTACTACTTTCCTTACTGGTTTTAAATTTAAAAGTAAATTCCGCAAATTAACTTCATAAACATAATGATGACAATAAAGTAAAATATAATGGAACCTAACACCCCAATCCCTCGCCCCCATACCCGTCTTACAACCAGAACCCCAACTACTTCAAATGACTCCTCCCCATACGTCCACACACTATTTGTGTACACATTTCTGCATTTTATTTTTATTTTGTTTCTTTGTTTTCTGAAAGCACGTTTCTTTGGCAAAAATGTGTATGAATGAAGAAAAAAAGGAGAAAAAACTTTGCAAAAGTGCCCATAAAAAGAAACAACGACAACTTTAAGCAGTTTTCAAGCGAAACAAAAGTTTTAGCCCAACGCCGATAAAAATAGAACTCTTGTGCAACTTTGTGGGTTAGATGTAGGAAATGGTTTTGAAATGTGCACAAATAAAAACACCAACAACATAGAATATAACAACCTATTATGAAACTATAAAAATAACGGAGGACAATTGTTGAAATAATAGAACAGGAAATGTTTCAGTTTTGGGGGAAGTTTTTACAAGAACGTTAGAAGAATTGTTTCAGGCATACAGCAAACCTTATTCTTCAGAAACGTTCTATAGGTCTTTGAGAAAAAGAAGACCTTCTATAGGTGTTCCAGAGTCAGAAGCCCGACCATAGGTATATTAAAGACAAAAGACCTTGTGCGAGTTTTCAGATTTTTTGCAAGTGTTATTACAGTCAATGGCATGAATTTAAAAAACTATATTTTTCACGTGCTATTTGAGCTACTTAAAGAATATAAAACGGTATCAGAGCCATAGGCTCTGTTTTTTAATAATATTTTTAATTTTTAAAAAATCCGCGATTATGGCCCTGTCGTAGGCGTGGTTGTTTAAATAATATTTTTTTCAAGCGACATCAGAGCCATAAGCAGGGTTTTAATGGTTTATCGGAGCCATAATTTCTGTCGAAGCATTACATAAGCTCTAAGCTTGACGTTTTATTAATTTTTTGCCATTGATTTTGATTCAATTTCAATCTAATCCGGAAGTTTTAATAATTTTTTTCGAAGCGATATCGGAGTTCCTAACCTTGAATTTTTAATACTTTTTGTTAAAGGCCTATCGGATCTCAATTATTTTTAATTTCAATCGGAGTTCTAAACCTTGAATTTTAAATATGTTTGTCGAAGCCCTATCGGATTTCAATGTCTGGATTTTTAATGATTTAAGTCGAATCACTTTTGGAGCTTAAGACTTGCTTTTTTAATAAAGTCCTTTTTTCATTCCAATATTGGAGCTTTAAGCCTGAAATTTAATATTTTTTGTCGAAGCACCATCTGAACTCTATGCATGGATTTTTGTAATGAAATATCTGATCTCAAATCCAGATTTTTTAAGTAATTTTTGTCGAAGTACTATCGGATCTAAATGTCTGAAATTTGGTCGAAGCATTTCCGAAGCTCTATACCTGAATTGTTTATTTATTTTTTCAATAAAATATCGGAGCTCAAAGTCTGAATTTTGATTTTTTTCCATTGGAGTATCGGAACTCTTCTGAATTTTTCATAATATTTTTTCAAGGTAATATAAGATCTCTAAACCTTAATTTGTAATAACATATGTAAGCTCTGATCCTGATTTTTTAAAAATCGGAAGACTAATCTTGAATTTTTAGTATTTTTTCCAATGGAATATCCGAACTGTCTGTCGGAATTTTTAATAGCATCAAAACATCTGGATTATATATATTTTTTGTTGAAACTCCATCGGAATTCTAGACTTGAATTTTGAACATTTTTCCCATTGAAATGTCAGAGCTGTTAGCCTTTATTTTGTATTTTAATTATTTTTTATTCGCAGCTATCTTCTTTGAATAATGTATGTTGAAGCACTATCGTATCTTTAAGACTTTAGAGCCGTTCTCGAAACTTGGCTTTTTATACCCTTCACCAAACAATGTCTTTGTGCATATGTTTGTAACAGGCAAATGGAAACGAGATAGACCCATGGTTTCTTTTGACTATATGCATAGAATCACATTCTGAGTCGATTTATGCATGTCCGTCCGTCCCATCCGACCATGTATTTTTGTGAGCAAAGTACAGGTCGCACTTATGATTCGAATTGGATGAAGTTTCCCACAGTCAATTTATTTGGCCCAATGACGAATTGAAATTGGAGAATATCGGATCATATTTAGATACAGCTTCCATATATATTTTCGTCCGATTTACTGTAAATGGTGCACCAAACTCCCAATATTGGTTCGATTGAGACAAAATTTTGCACTGTGTACTGAATTAAGTCCAGTTTGAAGTCTTTGAAGTTTCGTAAAAATCGGTTTGGATTTAGATATAAATCGCATATATAGCTTCGTCCGATTTTATGTAAATGGTGCACCAAACTCCGATTTTCTGTCCGATTGTGATGAAATTTGTTATAACGTATGGAATTGATACTAGGATAGAGCGTGTTAAGGTAAATGGCGCTCCAAACTCCCAAGATTTGCTTGATTGGGGCATAATATTTTCGTCCATGCAAATGGTACACCAAAGAATCCAAGAGTGTCCGATTGACATGCAATTTTTTATAGATATCAGAATGGTATGTGTATGGTTTTTTCATTGGTTCAAATATCTATGTAGATCAAACATTTTGTTCGCCCGACTCCAATTCAATGCTCCTCCAAAGATGCTAAGTCTGTCCTATCTACAGGATATTATATATATTAGCATCTCTTGTATGTACCCAAGGTGGTGAAGGGTATCATATAGTCGGCCCCGTTCGACTTTTGAACTTTCCTTACAGGTTTATTTTATAATTCTTCAAGGGTATATTGGAACTCTAAGCGAGGGGTAAAGTTGGATTTTCAATACGGGTTTTTTCGGGAGAGTATTGGAC